AATAAATAAATAAATAAATAAATAAATAAATAATAACAATTTTGAGAGCCAGTTTGGTGTGGTGGGAAGAATTTAGGACTGAGGACCTGGGAGGGCTCAGCTGTGATCCCCATGCAGTTCTGGTTCCCATAGGGCGACCCCTGCAAACCGCCTCGCAGGGGTGTTGTTGTGTGAGTAAGATGGCGTGGAGGAGAACTACATGAAGGTCCTTTGCAAAAGGGTTACAAGTGGGCCGGATCCTTCCTTGCAGCTGGAAACAAGGCGGGATACACATGCAATGTAGCGATGAATAATAAGCAAGTAGTAGTATAAAGCACAGTATAAGTATTAAAATAGTTGGACTACAACACAAAATAAAAGTGACAGAGTAAGCCCTTGCATTAGTGCAAAGATTTTAAATACAGAATTTTAAACAGGTTAAAAGTAAGATGCCTGAGAGAATTCCTGGGAAAGTAAAATCTCCACCTGGCACTCTTTCTGGTGCCAGTTGGATCTCTCTAGGACGTCCATACCATAGTTGGGGTGCCACGAGGAGGCCCTTCGTGATCCACCTGGCATGGTGCACATTCGTGCTCATCTAACTGAACACGATCCATCATCCTGTTTAACTGACACCCAGAGTGTCAGGAGGAATGACAAGATCTGACACGAAGTGGAGAACGAGATGGAGAAGTTGGGGGGGGGGGGCAACTCCTACCTGGTCATTAATCGAGCACACGGCGAGATTTTGCTCTTCGCTTGAGCAGGCAACTCGGATGTACTTCAGCCAGTTTCCGTTTCCTGCCTGATTGGCATCAACACAGAATTTATCAGTGCCCAGGTCATCACCCATCTGAAAGAAAAGGAAAGAGGGTTGGTTGACATGGGAGAAGCAACATTAAGCTGGAAGCAGTAGCTGTCTAAGGCCAAGAAAAAGTACATGCACAGAAACACACACACACACACACACACACACACACACAGAGAGAGAGAGAGAGAGAGAGAGAGAGAGAGGGAGGGAGAGGGAGGGAGAGAGAGGGAGAGAGAGGGAGAGAGAGGGAGAGGGAGAGGAGCATTCACATGTTATGACAACCCACCCTGGTGACAAGCCAATGTGGGTGGCTTGTTGTACAGATAACCCACGGTGCTCCCAACAGGCGACCCAGCTCACTGTGGGTTGTTCCTCCCCTCTCCTCCTCTTCCTCTTCCTCCTCCCCACTCAGTCCTCTCCCAGTCTCAGGGGACTTTGTAGCAGAAATGACTTGGCTTTTCCCCTTGTATTTTGGACTCATAGCAGCCTTTTCCCTTCCCTCCACGCTTTCTTTCTGAGATCATGAATCCCCCTTTTTGACAACCACAGGTGTGCCGAAGAGGGTCTTTGCGGGGGGGGGGGCGGGGGGGAGGACTGTCAGTGGCTGGCCAACCACTTTGGTTTGAACAAATTGCATGGAAAGCCCACACTGATCTTTTCTTTTTTCACTTTTGTTTTGGTTGCACTCATGGAATGGTGACGGCCAAGTGCCAAAATGGAAAGCGTTGGGTGGGACAATATTTTGAGGTACAGAAGGTTCTAAATAGGGTCCCCCCTAGCTTTCTCTTGGTAGCTGTCAAAAGGCAAGCCATCAGGGAAAACACAAGCATGGTTGATCTTTGCTTGCAAAAGGGGATGGTACAATATATACCCCCTTTGTGGCAAGAACCGCATCTGTTTCCCCCATTGATACACATTGTGCATTTTTCCTGAGAGTCTAGATGCTTGAGGAATCAAGAAGTGCATCCTGTCCCCTTTTCTGAGTCACCTTCCAAAAGAGGGTTTGGATGACTTCAGAGATGGCGTGGGATCATGACTGGGAGGGCAGTGGGCTGTGCGTGCTGCCCCTGATGGGCACTTGTGGGGCTGCTATGCTCTGACAGTGCCCGGCGAGGGGTATTCCCAGTCTTGCTACCCTCGTTGCTAGCTGATTCTTGGTTCCCCAATGCCGGTTGCCCAGATTGAGATGGCTTAACAATGCTTCACAGATACAACAACCCATGGATTATTATGGTGGGCTACTGCCCATGAAGAAACCACCATACAGGAATTGGTTTGGGTTCACACAATGCAAAAACCGATGGTGAGTAACAACTGCTGATAGGTTGTTGCGTCATGTGAACCCAGACAGAGAACACAGCCTCAAGAATCTAGACCCTGGTGGGTTAGTCAGCTCAACTCAGTGTGAAATATTTAAGCCGCATCTTTAATCTCACTGCATCATTTCTCCCTGGCCTTCAGCCATCCATTTCCTCCAGGACTCTGTGCATTGTATTTCTGCAGGCCACACGCATCCATAATCAGCATGTGGCAAAAATCATGTGAAGAAAAAATGTGCACTGTTAAAGAACATGTTATTTCTGAGCATACACAGAATGCCTTCAACTCATCTCTGATCCCAGATAGCTACCAGTTATTTCAGCTTATGGCAGAAGGGATGCAAGGCCAAGGATAATGTTTCTAGGCATGAGCTTGTCCAGATCCCTCTTTTTTAAAAAAAGAACAACCTTGAACACCAACCTGCATTTAATTAAGGTTGGTGCAGCTCCCCTGGAGGCGTGATATGAAAGGCAGTTAGTCCTTCCATGAATTGTTATAAGAACTTGCAGGATTGACACCACCTCCGTAGGCACTTGTGGGATGAAGATCGGTAGCATCATGAAGACCAGCTGGAAGTCACAGAAGGCTCCATACATGCTTCTCAGACCTGCCCAGTTTTGCTGCCACAAAGTGAGTCTTTGTGGTGGCAACTTTGTGTCTCTGGTTCGGGGCAGGTGGGAGTCCTGGGAGGTCCTCACCTGCCGCTTGCTTTTTCCTGCCTCTGCACGTGCAACGGATCCAGCCAAATCACGCAGGCCTCAGACCTTTGCCTGCTGCTCCTAAATTTGCCTTCACCTGGGGTGCCTGCTGTGCCATGCCAAGCTCTCCATCCACCTCCATCACCCCTGGTCCAGGTGGCCCATCAAAGGCCACCTGTCGCTTAAGGAGAAGTGTGTTGCCTGCCACCTGAGCACTCAAGTCCCACTGCAACAAACTGTATCTCTAACTGCAGGCATTTCCCCAAATGCCTAAAGATACAAATGTGGGTTGTGGGAAATGAGGTGACCTTTGAAAAAAAGTAATGCTTTTTATTATTTCTTTTCTCAAAACAAAAGCGATTCAGTTTCTATTTTTTTCACACAGGAAAGGGAATAATGTATGTGAGAGTACCGACAGGGAGGTGGCAAAGATTTTCACACCAAATATTTTTTGCAGAAGCAAGCAAGTCTCTTGAAGCGCTTTGGTACTTTCCCACATTGCTTACTGCAATCTGCTACAGAATATGCAAAGCTGAATACAGTTTGGAAGTTGCAGGAGGTACAATGCAAGGAATGCTCAGCTACCGGGTGGGGTTTGGGACAGGGAACATCTTGCTTCAGTGTGAAAAGTGCTTTTCAGAATTCAAAATAGTGCTGAGGGTGGCACTGAGTTAGATTCGGGTGTCCCAAGCTGTCAGAAACGGAAAACTGCTCCCATCACAGAACTGGTCCCAAGCCGGGCACTTCTGAAATGAGTTCAGAATGACAACAAAAGTGCTTTGCTCAGCTGGTCCATCATGGCGCCCTCCAGATGCATTGTCCACAAGTCCCATCAGTCCCAGCAACATGGCCAATGGTCAGCTGAGAAGGTGCTGTAGTCTAGCTGCACTTACAATCATAGAATTATAGAAGAGTAGAGTTGGAAGGGGCCATGAAGGCCATCGGGTCCAACTCTGTTGTTGCAGGACACCAATTCACACCATCCCACTCAGGTGGCTGTCCAGTTTCTTCTTAAATGGCTCTAGTGTGGGAGAGCCCACCACCTCTCCAGACAACTGGTTCCACTGTCCTATTACTCTGACCCTGAGGAAGCTTTTCCTGATGTCCAGCATGAATCTGGGTTGCTGCAACTTAACTTGATTCTTTCATGTCCTGCACTCTGGCATCAGCAAGGAGAGATCTTGACCTTCCTTTTTGTGACAGCCTTTGAGGCACTTACAGAGGGACACCATGTCCCCCCTCAGTCTTCTCTTCTCAAGGCTGAATGTGCCCAGTTCTCTCAGTCTCTCCTCACAGGGCAGCATTTCCAGACCCTGGATCATTTTTGTTGCCCTCCTCTGGACCCTTCCTAATTTACATGCATCTTTCTCAAATCCTGGTGCCCAGAACTGGACACAGCATTCCAGGTGAGGTCTGACTAGTGAGGAGAATAGAGAAACTACTACTTCTTGTGATTTGGAAGTAATACTTCTGTTCTGAATCCCAAAATAGCATTTGCCCTTTTGGCAGCTGCATCGCCTTGTTGGCTCCTGTTTAGCCTATTGTCCACAATCACTCCGAGATCTTGTTCTTTTTCGGTTCTGTTGAGGTGTGTATTCCCCATCACTTGAAGGACATCATGTTTCAGGTGATAAAGGACCTCACACATCCTGTGTGTGTTCCCAAGTAAATTTGCCCATGTCAGTTTTTCATTCTTTTGTGTCCCTAAAAGATCTCATTCCACCCAACTAAAGCGGGACTGGCTACAACCACTTTGGAGAACTTTGCCTAAGTTCAGATTTACAAAGAATAAAAAGAACAATGAGATACTGGCTGGACCATGAAGGATCTGAGCTATTAAAAACTTCAACCTCACTCACTCATCCACTTTAATTTCCACTAACCTAAAAGGCAACCTTCTATCTATTTCTGGTCTTCAAGCTGTGAGTGACATCACTTACGCAGCCAGTAAACCACCTCCCATGCACAAGACCATGGTGTCCTTCAATTTTTTTTTGCAAAACTATCTAGAAGTGTTAGATCTAAAAGAAAAGTTGGGGGAGGAGAAGAGACTGACAGGAGCATTCAAAGGAGCTGTCTACACTGAAAAACATTGTGGCATCTTGTCCCAGTATTCTAAACACAGCTGGTTTATTCCTATAGACCATCTCTTCTCTCCTTTTCCTGGTCTGCTCATCTGCTCTCTACAAAGTTTTCCAGCATCTTCACTCCCGTTTTATCATGCACAGCCTCAAACAGTTCTAACTGGGTTGTTTTTCAGGGGGTGGGGTCTCCCTTAAGGGTTCCCCCCCAAATTTTCATACTTCTGCAAAATCTGGGTTCCTCTATAGCTCCAGTACTCTCTTGTTGTCTACAGGTGATGGTATTCTGGCTACCCACAGAGAACTGAGACCACTATGAATATATATGACTTAATGATTAAGATCAGGAAGCAGAAGGAACAATAATCAGATCTGCAGACTATACAAAATTGGGTGGAATAGTGAACAGCCTAGAAGACAGAATGAAGATCCAGGGTGATCTTGATAAACTTGAACCCTGGGCTGAAAGCAACAGAATGAGATTCAATAGGGACTCAAATGCCAAGTCCTCCACCTAGGAAAAAGAAACCAAAAGCATTGATACAAGATGGGGGATATGTGGCTCAACAGAACTGAACAAGATTTTGGTGTAATTGTGGACAATAGGCTAAATAGGAGCCAACAATGCAATGCACTTGCCAAAAGGGCAAATGCTATTTTGGGATGTAGTCACAGAAGTATTACTTCCACAGCATGAGAAGTAGCATTTCCTCTATACTCCTCACTAGTCAGACCTCACCTGGAATACTGTGCCCAGTTCTGGACACCAAGGTTTAAGAAAGATGCAGAAAAATTAGAAAGGGTCCAGAGGAGGGCAACAAAGATGATCCAGGGTTTGGAAACACTGAGAAGAGACTGGGAGAATTGGGCATGTTCAGCCCTGAGAAGAGAAGACTGAGGGGGACATGAGATCCCTCTATAAGTCCCTCAAAGGCTGTCACAA